AAAGTCCAAGCGCCTCGGCTGCCCCTGGCACGGCCCCTTCCATGAGCTGACGGTGCACGAGGCTGCATGTGCCCACCCAGCCAAGACAGGCAGTGAGCTGATGGAGATCCTGGACGAGATGGACCAGGGCCGCCGCACCGAGATGCAGCTCTACAGCAGCATCTTCGGTCTGCTCAGCCTCGAGAAGATCGGCTACACAGGTGAGGCCGTCGCTGCCGCCCAGTGGGCTGGGGCTGTGGGCACAGGGTGCAAGGTGGGTCTAGACTAGTTCCTCGTGGACAGGAGGGCGCCTGGAGGCTGAGCCGAGGGCAGGCAGCAGGACCTTGGTGCGGCTCCGTGGCTGTCAGTAGCCCCCACCTGCCGCCCTCCTGGCCCTGCCAGCACAGTATAGTGCATCCTCACCAGGGATCCACAGCCCTGGGACAGCTGGGGCATAGCGGGAAGGGGCCATGTTGATGCCCAGAGCCAGGCGGTGCTTGGCCAAGTGGGCACTGCCACAGCAGCACTTCCCTGCCTGGACACAGGCCTCCGAGGCGGGCACAAAGCCTGTCTGGATAGGGCTCCAGGATGAGCTGAGGGTGCTCACTGCAGTCTGTAGACCCTGGAGTGGATGTCTACAGATGGGCAGGTGGACCAGGTCCAGGCCCACCAGACCTCGCGGCTCCCTGGGTCACTGCCACCGATCCTGCCAGGAGGAGGAGGCAGGCCCAAGCCCAGCCCAGAGAGCAGCAAGAAGTACCTGCCGACGCCAGACCTGGGGCTCCACCCTCCACTGCCAGCCTGCGGGGGTAGATGGCCAGCTGGGCGCACCCAGGGCAGTCACGGGCTGCCTGGCTTGAGCCCAGCTTGGTGTGGGCCTGACCAGGCCTGAGAAGCCCAGGGCTCGGGAACCTCAGCAGCTGAAGGCCCTGGCCACTGTTGGGTGTAGCCTCAGCTGTGGGCACTGCGGTATCAGTGGTCCAGGCAAGGCCTCGGAGGGTCTGGGTGGGCCAGGAGCTGTGGCTGCAGCCATGGCCAGGTGGGGAGCCTCGTTGTGCAGGAAGGACTGGCTGCCTGCAAGCCCGCACCTCCGCAGACGGACCTGGCCGCCCCGGCGTGCACTGCCT